AGATTTAGAGTTTCGGTATGTGTTACAAACAACTACCACCAATACCGAGAGTTTCGGTGTGTGTTACAAACAAATACCACCAAGATTTAGAGTTTCGGTATGTGTTACAAACAACTACCACCAATACCGAGAGTTTCGGTGTGTGTTACAAACAAATACCACCAAGATTTAGAGTTTCGGTATGTGTTACAAACAACTACCACCAAAACTGAGAGTTTCGGTGTGTGTTACAAACAACTACCACCAAGATTTAGAGTTTCGGTGTGTGTTACAAACAACTACCACCAATACCGAGAATTTCAATGTGTGTTACAAACTACTACCACCAAGATTTAGAGTTTCGGTGTGTGTTACAAACAACTACCACCAAGATTTAGAGTTTCGGTGTGTGTTACAAACAACTACCACCAATACTGAGAGTTTCGGTGTGTGTTACAAGCAACTACCACCAATACTGAGAGTTTCGGTGTGTGTTACAAACTACTACCACCAAGATTTAGAGTTTCGGTGTGTGTTACAAACAACTACCAATACTGAGAGTTTCGGTGTGTGTTACAAACAACTATTACCAATACTGAGAGTTTCGGTGTGTGTTACAAACAACTACCACCAATACTGATAGTTTTGGTGTGTGTTACAAACAACTACCATCAAGATTTCATCCAGATACATGGTTGACCTTTTCTTGAAACAGAAATAAAACCCAGCCTGTTGCAGTAAGTTCACGAAGCATTACTTTTAAGACTGCTGTCTACATATTAACAAAGAGAGATTGAACAGTAACGAAATACTGAGGCAAAACTACACCATCATTCAATTTACACATTGTCTTATATTTTGACATAACACGATGACCAACAGAGACAAGGCAATATAAACATGACTAATTAATTGGTTTAAAGGTGAGAACGTTTATTCTTGTAATGAAGAAACTATATAAATACCGTATGTGATATTAATGTTTGGATTTACAGTAATACCCAATAGGTCCAAAGTACTATTAAATTAAAAAAAAATGTCTTCCAAGATAAGCAGAGAGCTATAGCCCCAGTTTCTCAATGGAAGACTATTATTCTCATATACTATCAAATTAAAAAATCAAATTTCCTTCACTGTCGTGTCTCATTATCAATTGGAATAATTATGGTCTAAAAACTCATAAGACACAATATAACGTAGAAACACTCGAAAATTAGGATTTTTAAATATGTATACAGCTTCTGAATTCATAACTCGTATTTTTCGTTATTAGGAAGTTTTTGAATTAGTTCAAGCTCAAACATTTATGCCCACTGTCATTCTAACCTCTCCTATCCGTCACTAGTGAAATAGAGTCAGACATAGCTGAAACAGAGTCTCTCATGTGAGATATATTTTTACTAATTCCTTTCTTGAGCTACTTTTTGGGAAATGATTCGGCGAGTTTCTCATTATTTTAATAATTGCAAATAATATTAAAAAAAACATTTATGTGTTATTTCCAAAAGAAATGTACACCTATAGCCAGCTGCTGTAAACTGATTAACAGTAATATAGTCATGGATAGACTATACAATACATAATAATATAGTAATTTACAGTATGCTTATAGCTAGCACCTGCACGTTTCGTACTAATATTAGCCATTGATAAACTATAAAATACAGTACAGGTACAATAAAGACCTATAAGCTGCGTAACACTATAGTCATTTATAAACTGTAAAACAGGGTATACTTTTAAGCAGCAGCTGTAATATACTTAATAATCATTACTCAGTTTGTAACTATTGGTTATAGGTGTGCTGTGTGTTATAGTTTGTAACTGATTCTGTGTAACTGTGATATGATTGTTTTTGAATGATTACATTAATATGTAATGCGATTTACAACTGTTAATGATAGGTGTATTCTTGTTGCACAGATTCTAATTAGCTATATTATTACTTAACTTACATTTGATAGGATAAGTACATTATATTTTACACTTTCAAAATGAATATATATGAATATATATATTTTATAGCTGTTGGTTATAGGATTACTATTTTACAGTTTCAGCGTGGAAGAATTATTATTTAATTTATAACTATTGATCATAGAGCAGGTTTACAGCGTTTTCCTGGTTCTAAATATTTATAATTGGTTATAGGTGTGCTGTGTGTTATAGTTTCTAGATTACTGTGAGTTACAAACTGAGTAATAACACAGTAATCTAGAAACTATAACACACAGCACACCTATAACCAATAGTTACAAACTGAGTAATAACACAGCAATTTAGAAACAATAAACACACAGTACACCTATAACCAATAGTTACAAACTGAGTAATAACACAGTAATCTAGAAACTATAACACACAGCACACCTATAACCAATGGTTAAAAATTAATTAATAACACAGTAATCTAGAAACTATAACACACAGCATACCTATAACCAATGGTTAAAAATTAATTAATAACAGTAATCTAGAAACTATAACACACAGTACACCTATAAACAATAGTTACGAACTGAATAATAACACAGCAATTTAGAAACAATAAACACACAGTACATCTATAACTAATATTTAGAAACTGTAAATTACAGTACACCTATAGCCAATAGTTACAAATTAAGTAATAACACGATTTAGAAACTATAACACACAGTAAACTTGTAGCCAATACTTACAAGTTAAGTAATAACACAATTTAGAAGCTGTAAAACACAATATACCTATATCCAACAGATACAAATTAAGTAATAACACAGCAATTTAGTAAAACATAGTACAACGGTAACCAGCAGCTATAAGCTGGCATAACATTACAACCCTATATCTAACAGCTGCAAACATGGTAATAATACACTCACTTAAAGACTTTAACACTGCCATACCAACATTGCGCGATGGTAAAGTACATAACAAACTATGTAGTATACAAGACAGAAGATGGCACGAAGTGTGACAACTTAACTAATACTTTTAACTAAGTAAGTGTTCCTGATATAGTACACACAATACATATGTGAATCATAATAATCACTAATTAAATACTCTTGAGATACATAATAACAATTACAAGATTATTTTTGGTTTTTGTCTATATCATTTGTTATTTAAGACATCACAGGACGTATATGGAACTATAAAAGGTTGTACTTACCATCAGTCATAGTGGGTGAGATCCTGGCCAACACCAGGAGGAGGCAGAATACCTCAGTAACCCTGGTTGGGGGCATGAGATCGATGTCGAAACTTCAGAGAATACCTAAAATTAATACAAAAAAAAATAAACTATACTGGCCTGAGATGTATAGTCTTCTTAACCAATGGTAACCAGAGAAACAGTGGCAACTGGAAAACAAGGTGAGGTTAACATGTCACGGCAGTGACGTCGAGTGTTGTAGTTCTCATCCACGGAAATAACAGCAACAATGTGAGCACTATTTTCTGTATTCTTATTATCACAGGTTCAGGAACAATTATTTCACTAAAAGAGGTTAAACTGGATCACCCAGCGTAATGTTAAAGATATTGGGTAAGTTACCTTGTGATTTATCTATCTACCTGTACACTGTCTTAACTATAGAAACATCTACATCAACGAGTACATTATCCTCGCGATACTACAATTAAGCTACTTCAATTTGTCCATGGAAGGTGGACAGTTATAGGTAACTCCACATCACCGGATAATTTTTAAACTTCATATTTCAGAGAAGCTTTCGCTATTAGTCGAACACATATTCCTGTACTGTTCCTTGCAATTTATAAGTTGTGTAAGTGTATTTCACACTAATGTGTCACGAACGTATTAACGTTATCTAAGTTTCAAATCTTCCTTGCGAGTTTCTGAATGGTGTCAAATGAATCACGAGAAACATATCATAAACCGGACTTATCGTTATTGGTAAAAGTCACCAGTCCCCATAACAACTCTACACACCAAAATAGTAAAGGATACTGAACAAACTGTTACTCATACACCCCAATTCCAAAAGCTTCGATTGCGCCTGCGCAGTGTCAACACTTATGCATGTGCTTCGGCGAGATATAGTCGAAAATGCTTTACTCTGTACCGGTTCCTCCTCTCGTGTATTCTCGCGGGAATAATTGATCACGTGGCATATTCACAGCCAATAAGACCTAAGCACCGGTCGCTATGACAACATTTGACAAAGCCGCAGTCAAGGTTTGCGTGTCCAGTAGTACACGCACTCAGCAAGTATAGGGTAAGTGATGAATTATATATTGATCGCTGGCCCAGCAAAAACCATGATCTATTAATTGTAGTGTACATCATAGTAAACAAAACCTGTGAGAAATTCTTAGGTGCCACCCAAAACTTTAGAATTATTCAGAGAAACAACACCGTTACAGAAAACTGTGAGATACTCTTAAGGTCTACCTGTTCAGGTGGTTGCTCCACCCAAAACTTTATAATTATTCAGATAAACAACACCGTTACAGAAAACTGTGAGATACTCTTAAGGTCTACCTGTTCAGGTGGTTGCTCCACCCAAAACTTTAGAATTATTCAGATAAACAACACCGTTAGAGAAAACTGTGTGACACTCTTATGGTATACCTGTTCAGGTGGTTGCTCCACCCATAATTTTAGAAGTAACTGGTGGTACACCACCAGGAGAAGATTGAAGAGAAAAATGGCCTCGTAAAAGTCCAGGTGTTTTCGCAATTAAATAAATTAATTATTTTTAATCAAATCATGATATGAAACTAGTTTTAAGTTGGATTTGTGATAAATAATTAATTAATCTATGAAGTAAGGTAAAGATAGGTTTTCAAAATTTTACCTGTAGATTTATAGAATCTTTGCTAGTTTTTCTGTTTAAGTGTAACAATTTCTTCGCACACTAAATAGAGTTGACTGTACATGTTTCAATTATAATACTTATTATTTCACAAATAAAATGTTACAAAAAAAACAAAACAATGTCTCTAAATGTTACCGGCAAGTTACTAGGTAACAAGAGAAAATACATGTAACCATGTTTAGGCATAGCTATGTACATGTAGCCATGTAACCCGAAACTGTATACATTCAGGCTTACAGTCTTTTTATGGTAACTATATCGTTATGCAACAAACTGAATGACACATTTACATATATTTTCACATTATATTCATGAAGTACTACTTAACATAAGTACACCCTGTTCATATATTACATTACTTACGGAGTAAAACATCTACAGCTTGTTCAGCACATTTCGTGTATTACTGTTCACAATTAACAGGCTTACAATACCTAAACAACAAAATAAACACGCTTATTACACATTAATAAAATGGAATAAAATCAATAGCACTATAAAACATTAACTTATTGTACGTACCACTATTATTACATTAATAAATTGGAATAAAATCAATAGCACTATAAAACATTAACTTATTGTACGTACCACTATTATTACATTAATAAAATGGAATAAAATCAATAGTACTATAAAACATTAACTTATTGTACGTACCGCTATTATTACATTAATAAAATGGAATAAAATCAATAGTACTATAAAACATTAACTTATTGTACGTACCGCTATTATTACTGTTTACACATTAATAAAATGGAATAAAATCAATAGTACTATAAAACATTAACTTATTGTACGTACCGCTATTATTACATTAATAAAATGGAATAAAATCAATAATAACGTGGATGGATCTTTACCAAATTTGGTATGGGGAGATACATGCAAATTTGCAGTTTCACACTTTATGTTTTGCAGATAAAGAAACACAGCAAATGCCACATTTAATCCTATTATATTAATTCCATGTAAAAAGAAGCTTTGAATCACACGGTATTAGGGAAGATTTGTTTCTCTTTCACGATATTCAACTACTCACTTCAACCTCATAAACAACCGATTCAGTGAAACCACCCTACGTGTACTTACTCATCATCACACGACGTTTTATTTCTAATCAATAATTAATAATGTTAGAAACATTTATAGAAATACGCCCTTTGTCCTTTTCTATGTAAATATTTCTTGGGGTGTGCAGTGCCCACCCTTTTGTTTCTTCGTAAATATTTCTGTAACTGGAATTATCGAAACTTCTTGGCATAACGTCATTGTCTGTTGACATTAAGTTATTAACTAATTTTGTAATGCATTAATGTAAAAATTTTAACGTAATAAATCCCAAATAAGATACCAAGACAATTAACACAAAACTTATATATAGTTATTTAATTAAATATCTTAATTTGTTTTGCATCTATTCTCATTTCTCCAGGCTTCTGGATACTACTATATGAAAACGTACTTAGTATTGCAGTTTATAAAATTAAGTCATCATAACACGTCTCTAACCGTTAATTAGTAACTGCTTCCATCGTCAACTGTTTGCTGATTTCCTTTATTAGAAATACTGATTTAAATTTATTATTATCTAAAGTTTAACAGTTTTACAAATACAGAATTAACGACTAACACAGTTTTTCAATTATCGCATTTTTTAAACGAAATAGGGTAAAAGATAACTTCTGAATACCACCGTATTATGTGTTTACGATTTTCCTTACGTTAAAATTAACTAAATATTTGGTAGTGGCTAAGAATAAAGTCTACAACTTTTACCTGTTTTCTTAATTTAACATAAGTTGAAAATAATGGTTTAACTTCATTGAAAGTTAATCGAACTTTGTAAGACAGATGCTCTAGAATGTGTGCTAACCTTTGGAGCTTCCATCCCCATAACTGATATTTCTCAATCTGATGATTTTGAATGCGCACTACTGCATATCACTGCAGTTTGAATTGTAACAACTTTATGTAAAGGACGTTGAACTGAATTTTGATTGACACATCACAACAAACTTTCCACACGTTTTTTCATCGTACGAGGATGTCAACTAATAAGACAGCAGACTAGAAGCACTCGTACTTAAAGCCAGCACAGCAGCATCTGTGGACTTTACAGGTACGTGGTCGAAAGAAAGTTTCGTGGTTCCAGTTTCTTCGGTCATCTTTCTCGTGATAACAGAAACTGCTTTCAAGGTGTGGCTAGAAGATTGACAGTTTGTATAAACTTCAAATTCTTGTTTACTATTGTGATATGCTCAGTTTCAGGGCGTTGCTCCAGGTTGACTAAGGGTGTGGTTTCGGAGCTCATTTTTGACCTGAACGAGTTTTTTGCACTTTCACAAAGTACATTGAAGAATCTCTTCTTTAAAATATTTGTCTTTTGATTCCATGTGGCTTATTAATTCCGCTATTTGGAATATACAATCCTTCGTTACAAAGGGAAATTACACATCCTTTCTTCTTCAGTTATTAGTTAAGTCGTGTGCTGTTGGAATGGACCGGGAATAAATCAAATATGTTGGTACTTACACATCCTTTCTTCTTCAGTTATTAGTTAAGTCGTGTGCTGTTGGAATGGACCGGGAATAAATCAAATATGTAAGTACTTACACATCCTTTCTTCTTCAGTTATTAGTCAAGTCGTGTGATGTTGGAATGGACCGGGAATAAATCAAATATGTAGGTACTACAAATGTCGCCTGTGGCACCACAGGCAGAATTTGTGGCAACATACTACTTTTTTAACACATGTTCTAATCAGGTGTGATTAATCCTCTGTAAATAAACCGAAACTATTTCAAAGTCCTAGTTTATGTGTAGCAAAAACGAAATCACTGTTTCCCCTCATAAGCTGGAACTATATTATGTATTGGTGTGGACTTCTGTGGTACAGAGTTAACCACAAATTACATAGAAATATGACTGTTTTCCTTCAAAGAGACATATATATATATTTGAAACTATTTAAAGAAATTGTTTAACTTCGTGAATCAACAAATGAAATTTACTGGAAGTGATAGGTAACTGACAGAGCATAAAAACAACTGTTACTTGCAATAATAGAAAAATCGGAACTTATTCAAAGAACCGTCAGTTCCAATAACAGAAGAAACTGAACCTAATGAAAGTAACTGTTAATTGCAATAAGAAAAGAATCCGGGCCTTTTGAAAGTATATGTTAATTACAAAAATGAAACCGAACCTAATGAAACTGTTAGTTGTAATAACAAGTCAATTTGAGGCCCTACTTGATATTGTCACAGTGAAACCAGTCACAGGTGGAATGTGTTTTGTGACAGAGAGGGTTCTTATGTTGGAACAGCACGTTAACAGAAACCCCACCATGCTTTACGGACACGTGTTCACCTGAGATCTATTGATCCACGAAAATGTAGAAGTAATGACTTTCACAAATAAATCTGTA